TTTCTGCTTTACCTGCTGGGAGCCTAGCACATCATCAGGCACCTGCCACTCAATAAACACTTGTTGGGTAAACAAGTGAGTGTGCAAGCCTCTTAAATCTGTCTTCAGTCTATACCCCAAATTCACTGCTTATAAATTATTATGCAAAAAAGATATGCAAGTATTTTAATAAATTGTAATGTTTTCACTATTGAACAAATACCTTTTGTTTTTTCTATGTATATTTTAAAACTAATATTAGTTTTATTTTTTAAGGTAACACATGTCATAGTTTTTATGATGGTGTTAAATTTCTAATAAACTAGTGTAGATTTCCTCCTAAGTCCTAATCCTCACAGAAAAACATTAGACTTTTTTAGTGCTTTTCTACGGTACTTATTTATATATTTATAAATGGTTTGCTTATCCTGCTATTTCTTTATTTAGCAATTTTAAGCATTATTTATTGATTCTGTTATAATAGTTGAGGATTTAGTTGTGTTACACACACACTTGTATATGCAGACTGCCTTTCCTTTTTCTTTAAAGGTTTTTTCAATTGATTTGAAGTAGGGAGAAAGAAACATCAATTTTTGTTGTCTACTTATTTATGCATTCATTGTCTGATTCTTGTATATGCCCGAACCAGGGACCAAACCTGTAACCCTGGCCTATGGGGAGGACGCTCTCACCAACTGAGCTACTGGGGCAGGGCCTGTCTTTCCTCATCCCCACCCTCTACATATTGTTATATCATAATTTGTGGCTATTCTCCTGTCAGTGTTTCCATTATTCTGATTATGTCCACTTCTTAGCAATGTGGTATGTTATCATTACGTTTCTTTTCTCTCATTGCCTTTTGTTTTTCCTAGACTTAGCACAGTAACACCCTCCCCCTGACCATGTGCTCAGTACCCTCTGTACCTACTGTAAACGACTCACAAATGCTCCCACCCAAATGACATTTCAAGTCGTACCAGTCGGAACAGTCTAACTGCTATAACGAACAACCCGGAAAATCTCAGTGAGTGTGTGTGTGGCAGTTTATTTCTTCCTCATGTCACAGTCTAACGTGTGGCTGCTAGGGTTTGTGTGCCCACAGTCACTCAGACTTACAAACTTTTTTCCTCTGGGGCTTTAATGTCTTCTAGGGCCACAGAGCTCCTCAAGGAGTCTTTGCATCTGGATTTTAATAAGAAAAGAGGAAAAGCATGGAGGATCTCATAGGTCATTTTACGGGAATGGCCTGGAAGTGGGGGCCACCACTGCGACGCACACACTCCTAACCAGCACTCAGTTACACGCCTTCCTGCCTACAAGGGCCAAGCAAGGAAACACAGTGGGGTACCTAGGAAAAGGAGAACATCGACCTGGGCGAGCACTTCCGGTCTCTGCTGCACACGCGTGCATCAGTTGGTCAAATGGACGTGTACATCAAATAATTATTTTCTTTCCTGTTCATTTCCTGGAGGCGTTCCTACTGTAATTCATCCTTCTGCTTCTTGCTAGGCCTGCTAGTCTTTGTTGCTCAGGAGACTTCACTTCATTGCCTTCTCCGTTGGTTCTGCATTTCCTGAGCTCCCTCTTTTCCTCTTTCTTGACTCGTAAGTTTGTCTGGGGGATCCTTCTTTAAAGAATGGTATGAGAAGTGTATGTTTGGATCCTTGCGTGTCTGAACATGTCTTTTATCACACTTGGCTAACGTTTGGTCTGGGTATACAATTCTAAGTTCAAAGGAATTTCATTTTTAAAATGTGAAGACACATTTAAAGAACCTTCTCAATCCATTATTGCTCTTGAGAAATCTAACGCAATTTTCATTCTTTTCCTTTACATGTGATCTGCTCTGTGTTTCCGGAAGACGTTTTAGGTTGTTCTCTTTATTCCTGGGCTTCTAATAGTTCAGAATGATGTATATTGGTGTATTTAATTAATTAACTAATTAATTAAAAATGATATTCTCCTGGCCTTTAGGGGAACATTCGATCCCAAAGAGTCAAAGATCCTTCACTTCTGGAGTGGATTTTGCATTATTTATTTAATTGTTTTTTTCATCCATTTCTGCATAAAAATTGAAGTTTCTTTTTTGGAATTCTCTGAAATTTCCATTAGTTAGAAACTTTTTCCTTTTTCTCCAAATTTTTATGTCTGTATCTTTTTGTTCTATTTTCCTGGAGATGTTCTCAACTTGTAACCCATCTGTCAATTACTGAATATTTAAAATGGTGAGAATATTTTCAATTTCAAGAGGTTTTTCTCTGTCTTACATATAAATTTCTTTTTAATTCATTTTCTGTAGAAGCCAAGTAAAAATACATGTGTTTTATTCATCTTGTTAAACCACAAATTAACCTAGTTTATTTTCTCCAGAAAATAACCCTCCGGTCTCCTGGAGGCTGGGTTAAACAGATGGACGAAGTTACAGTTGGTTGAGTGCACGGTCGTGGGGAAGGAAACTTTGGGTCCAACCATTCTGCACGCAGACATCTAACCAAGCCCCTGTGTTCACCCCACCAGCTGGCCCACTTCACTGGTGCCTCTCAGTGTTAAGCAGGGAGAAATGTCATGCGTCTTATCCATAACCCTTCCTACAGGGGTGCAGTGGATTAACCCAGGCCTCCGTCTGACTTAGGTTCCTCCCACCATCTAGTGCAGTTTATTTTGTCACTTTACTTCTCCTCTCCCTTTTATTTGTCTTCAGGATTCAATGACATTTAAAATACTCTCGTGTTAGAGGAGTTTAGGGAAGGGGAGATGAAACACATGTGATCAATTTGCCATTTTCCACTAGAAACCTCCCATCTACATGTATATTTGTTGACCCCAATGCTATATGTACTGAATGGTAAACCTACTGACAAAAATTGTATCTTTTCAATTTGTGCTCCATAAACTCCAGGTACGGGAAGGCATTTGTTTTTTGTTATGTCACATGACGCCATCACGGGGCTTTTCCTCTGCTCTGCCTCTGTTCCAAGGGTCCTCCATGAAGTGGCCCCAAATCATTGCCTCGTGCCCTCCCACTGCCCTCTCCTCCTCGGCACCCCTCTTCCCGGAGGAAGGGTAGGCTCCCTGCTCTGCAGTAGCTCTGCAGCATCGCTGTGTAACCCCAGGGCCTCTGAGCCTCGGAACCTGCAGGGCAGGACTTACATGACAAGTGACTGCAGGAGAGTTGATCCTGCAAGAGCTGACCCTGTGAGGCAGCTGACACACTTACCTAGGGGAGGCTGACAAGGAGAGCAGGCCCAGAATGTGCTAGACTTTCTCCCAGCAGGAACGTTTCCTAGGGGTAACAGGGAGGCAGCACTGTGCTGCGCCCACCACGAGCCTGGCCAGTCAGGACCCAGCAGACCCGAGCTCTCGGTTCATGGACCTTCCTGATTTCCGGCACTTGTGTTGGGACTGTCTCAGCCTCAGTTTCTTCATTCTTAGAATGGGGACAATAAACATAGTAGGAGCCTTTACTGTTTCAAAGCGATGCTGTGAAAGTCAAATGAAATGATATATGGGAAAGGGTATTAGAACCTGCACTGCCTACAGGAAATACTAGCTGTTGGGATTAATGTGAGTAAACACGTGACCTAGGTGAAGAATACAGATTATTATTGTATGGCACAGAGAGTTGTTTTAAATTAATGTGCTACGTAAGGTAGAAAAGGTTCAAGTTTGTTATGTTCAGTCTTTCATCTCTTCCCAGGCCGGTAGACGCACACTTGTTACATGCTTAGATATTGCCGATGGACGCAGAATGGGCTTATCACAAACACAGACCCCAGTACACCTGTTTTGAAAATCTACAGCCTAGAGAAAACTGTATATGAACAATGATTAATAAAAAAAAAAAGAAAAAAGAAAAAAGAAAATCTACGGCCTGAGCGTCCTGCACTTTATCCCGGTAGATCAGAATAATTTCTCCGTAGTGGACCTTGCTTCGGGAGAATGAAGTAGGTAAGTGCTACCAGAGTCATAAACTTAGCCAGCACATGGAATCACGATGCACTTCACCGACATAAACTCCTTTACCCACGGTAACCCTAGGAAGGCATTTTATTATCCCCATTTTCAAGATAAGGACATCAGAAAATAGAACTTCTTCCATGTTTCCCTAATAGAGTAGACAGATTCCTGGGGGATCGAGTGTTTTCTTCAACACTCCCCTTCTCCACTCTTTTGCTACTACTGTTCGTGTTTCGTTCTGGTTTGGGGGTCTTCTCCTACCTCCTTCCCGCAGCGCTTCTCCCAGAAACGCTTCCCAGCTGATTCTCCGAGGCGCCCTGTCAAACGATGAAAGTTTAAGCAGTCATTGCTCACTGTTCACCAACGTGAGTGCAAGCAACAGGTTTGGAACTTGAATTTCACACAGAGGACTAAACCAGCTGCTACCAAGTGCAGACAACCTTGGATTCTCAGGGATCTCAGTCTGTCTGAAACACCATCCCAAGAGAGCAAGCGAGGATCTCTCTTGGGACGAATCCCAAATGTCTAGAACAGGGTGTGGCACATAGTAGGCTCTTGATATTTGTTCAGGGAAGCATGTCCTCCTGGTTTCGTTTGCTCTAATCGAACCTCTACTTACTAACCTACTGATCTCCGAAGTGACTAGGAGGCAAAGTGAGCCTGGTGCATACTGACTAATGTATTGGTATTTACAGATATTAACTTTTAAAACGAATTTGGAACTGCCCTTCCATGTCCCGGGGCCTTTCTCTGTTCTCCACGGGCAATTCTTCCCTCTCTGTACTTAATGAGACATCCTGGGGTGAGCGGGGGGGATGCAAAACGTTGGAAGCTGTTCTCACAGTGCCCTGGGCTCTTTCAATAAGAGATATTTTAAAAAAACAAACAAACCAGGGAGAAATAAAGGAATAAAAATGAGCTGCCGCCAGGGTTTGAAGCTCCGCAGGAGCGAACTGAACCAGGAGCCCAGCGCCTCTGAGTCACCGCCGAGAGGGCCCGAGGTGAGCTCCGCACATCCACATCCGCGTTGGGGCTGGAGACACGCCTTCCTCTCACTCTCACGCTCCAGATCCAGGCGGCTGTGCGCGCTCAGGGGTGGTGCTCCGGTCCTGCCACTCGCCGTCCCGACACGCAGGGGCCAGGAGCGAGCCAGAGCCACAGGTTGGGAGCGTAAGGAGCTGTCCCCGCGATGGTCGCCCTGTAGAGCAGATCCGGTGTGCCTGCGGCTGGCGTGGAAGCTCAGGAGTTCCAGGGCCCAGGAGGGCAGCCTCTGAAACCTGACACCCAGCCCTCGCGCAAAGGAAACTTCGCAGGCTGGTGAGTTGGGGAAGCCGGGTTGTTATTGCTGGAACGTGTTCCCACCCACTCAGGGTATTCAGGCGGCTGGCCTTGCAAAAGGAAGTGAGACGTGGACCAGCAGCGGCAGGCCGGCAGAGGCGAGGGGAGCCCGGCTGTGTGTGTGTGTGTGTGAGAGCGTCTCAGAGCCGCAGCTGCAGCCCAAATCCCGGTCGGAGTCCCCTGTGCGCGCGCGGGTGGCATCAGAGGGCTAGCTGGCTGCCTTTTAGTATTTGCATTTCGAACAGCTGGTTGGGATAAAAAACTGGGCACTGGGAGAGCAGTTTCCTTCCATTGGTATCTCAAACAACAACCAAGTAATAATAATAATAATAATAATGATAATTAATAGTAATAATTAATAATAACAATAATAGACAAGCTGTTCAGAGTTTCATTTAAGGAGGAGTAATTTAGTGAGGCACGCCAAGCAAGTGATTGGACATTCCTTTGCACTTCCTCAGGTGAAATAACCCGCAGAGAAATCAAAAGTAATTTGTGTCTGCCAATGTTTTGCTCAGTTTCTTCCCCCCAAATTCTGATCCAAGTGTTGCACCTCCTAGGGGGTGAGCGAGTTTGATTGTTCAAGTGGTAACAAGGTATGAGCTTCCAAGAGTTTCCCACCCAGTACAACATCATTAACTGAAAACTGTTGAAGCCGGTGAAATGTATAGCTAGCTAGCTACAGATGGGGGCTGCCTTCCCAGGAAAAATGTATGTTAACTCTGCTCACATACCTATAACATGTTTACTACTAAATTTTAATTTCAAGATCTAAATTTAAGGGTATAAGATTCCGGTTGTTTAAATGGTTAAATTAAGCCCAAATTAATTACATGTCATTTCAGGAGTAGCAACAAAATTATTATTTAACATAATAATAACGATGAATTTTGACTTAGTTATGTTTAAAAGAAAATGTGTGCTGGTTTTAATATTTAGTTACATTGATGTATAAATATATATATTCAAATATATATTCATATATATATGGTTGTCTATTTCTAAGTTTGAAAAGTTAACAGAAAGTTTGACTTCAGTATTATAGCCTCAGGTATTTAAGCTTATTGACTTTTCAAGTTCCTATCAAGTCCAAATTGTAATATGACGTGAGAGCCATTTTCCATAAATGTTTTTCATAATTTCATAGCATAATCCTCTACCCAGATGGGATCAGTCCTTCTTGAAGGCAAGAGGGGATTCTTATGGATGACCAAAGAAGGGTATTCTTGACAGACAGTTTGCTATTAATCAGGCTTTCCTGCTTAAGAACTACCTATGGCCTCCCACAAAATGTTACCATCCTCGATTTCAAAATGAAAATGAAACATTGCAGATGAAACTGGACGGGCCTGTTCTCACAGTTGCCAGGAAGGTGTAAAGGGAATCTGTCAGATGTACGCCAACCACAGCCCTCTCATAGGCCACTCCTGGCACAGGATTCTGCATCTGACCTGATGGGGAAGTTTCCCCTAGGACAGTCCATCAGCTCAGCTCCTCAGCGCACCAGCTTGTACTAAAATTATCTGCTGGTGTCTGACTTGCTTTTCACGTATTTCACCACTCTTCTGGAAAAGTGGAACTCATCCAAAGCCCCAGGTGTTTCCGAACAGAAATCTGCTCTTTTCCCACCTCTGGGAAATTTTGGACTGGTTATTTTATTTATTTTACTTTTTTTAAATTTTCAGATCAGCAGAGCATGAAACATAGAGCAACTATTCACATAAAACTCAGCTCACAGTGAACCCAGCACCGTGAGCTGATTCATTCATCAAGAAGGGTTAACCAACAGTTCATCTTTTGAGCAAGTAATTGTAATGTTCAGATGCAGGAACACAATTATAGTAAAAACAGGACAAACAAGTTGTTTTCCATGACGAATATGTCACTTTCGAGAGATGGCAGCTAAAAGGAAATGATTTTTTACTCATTATTAGGTGTACATAGAGCTGAAGTTTATTATATAGTTGTAGGAAGTAGAAATATCACTAAGGGCAATAAAACCCTATTGTGAACCTCATAAATGGAGTTGAGGGTATTACTTTGTTTCGTGCACTTTGCAGTCATTATTTATGTTCCCTAAATATTAAGCTTTTCTCACAAGCCCTCCTTACATGAAGAAAACCAGTCCAGGGTGCTGATAATGAGAATAAAACTCTGTTTAGCACATAACTAAGAAGTATCTCCAATTAAACACCTACATCAATCAATAAATGAGTAATTATGCAAGCTTCAGTGCAGTCAAAATATTTAAAGTGTAATCAGGAGCGTGACCTGGGGGGGGTACATGGGATTCAGTGGTCAGGGAGAGTGTCTGGGAAGCCCACCTGTTTAACAGCCCCGTGGCCTCATTGAAGAGAAGGTATTATAGGGTGACCAGAGTAGACCGGAGACCAGTCAGGAGGCAATTGCAGCAGACCAGAAATGACAGTGATGGAAAAACAAGAGGAAGCACTGTGCTCCTAGAGGGAAGTGGATAGTCAGGCAGTATTTGAAGGCAGAGCTAATAGGATTTGCTGACTAACTGGATAAGGGGTGGGAATGAAGGAAAGAAAGAACCGAAATGATCATCAGGTTTTTTACTGAAGACACTGGCAGGTGGTAAAGCCATTTCCTAAGACGGATAAAGCTAGCAGAAAAGCGGCTTTGGAAGGAAAATGAAGACTTCCTTTCCAGCCCTTTGAGGTATTTTTAGGTGTCCAAGTGGAAAGGCCAAATTGGGCGTTTGGTTGTAGGAATCTGGAGTTCGTGAAGGAAGTCACAGGCGAATAGAGACAATTGGGAATCAAGTGTCCATGGATGCTATTCAGAGCCATGGCCTTGAGGACATCACCTGCAGAGACAGTAGAGAGAGGGAGGGAGAAAAGTAGAGCCCTAAGGGCCAAGCTCTGGCTTCTCTAACATTGAGAGACTTTGCATGGAAGGAGCCCATTAAACGTCAGCATCGTGGGAGGTAAACCAGGACAAAGTGTTGTCTTGCAATCCAAGCCAGGAATCACTTCCCCCCCAAAAGGGAAAGGGCGGTTGTGTCAGATGTTGCTAGGACGATGAGTGAGACGAGGACCGGAAGGGGTATTGCAGGTGGCAATTTGGAATCATTGGCAGCTTTGATAGGAGATGGAGTTCTTAAAAATAAGGAGTTCACGTGAACTGATTAAAAAGTCTGGAGATAGCATTTCACATTATCCCAAGAGAGATACCACTGGAGAAATTCATGGTACTACATAGGGACTTTAATAAAATTAATTTTTAAAATGGCTTGTGGAATGAGTGAACAAAGGAATGCATAATGAGAAATACTTACAAAGGTGTTCGATGAGCTGTAAGTACAGGGTGAGGAAGACTAAAACCCAGAGTTGGCCAAAACTTGGAAAAATGCTAAGGACAGCCAAGAATTCTTCTAGTGTCGTTTAGAGCAAAGCAGTGAGTAAGGAAGTCAGTGGGTGTGAGAGAAAGTGTTATTACTCAGTGTCTATTGCTTCCTTCTTCTTTCTAATGAAAAGAAATAGTGTTCTGAACCAGGAAAGATAAGACAACACTGGAAGAAAGTTCAAGTCAAGGAAAGAAGAGAAGTTGCTGTGACTGGGAGCAACTTCTTTAAATGGAAACCAGGAGGGGCGGGGGCAGTGACGAGGGCCCGTCTGTGGAGATGGTGTCTTGGCTGAGACCTGAAAAATGTCTGGGGGCCAATCAGGTGGACAGCGGGGAGAGAACAGTCCAGACAGAGCAAAAGCACCTGCCAAATTCCTGACCTAAGAAGGATCTTGGTGCACTTGGGGAGCTGGCAGAAGAGTTCAGAGAGGGGAAGGCAGGCCGGAGAGGGGCCCACAATGAGGCTGGAGAGACCACGTGGGAAGCCGTGGCAGGGACTGGGTGAGACCACAGCTGACCAAGTGCAACGTCCCCAGCTGTGGTTGTTGTAGGGACGGGGCTGGTGCTGGGAAGTTGCTCAAAATGCCCTTCGAGCTGGCTTCCAAAACTGTGATCCTACAAATACAGGCACGCAATCCGTTTGATGTTTGATGGGTATTCTGGACCACAAATTAAGAGACAGTAGTGAAAGTGTAGTTAATACAGTTGTAAAAAAATAACATAACAGATCAAAGTAAATTAAGTTGTAGTTGCCACATAAGCCAAATGTCTAATATACAGAAATTCAGGAAGAGACTACTTTTCTTAGTAGGTGAAACTATAGTCAAGGATATTAAGACTCACCCATATAATTTTGGGAATAGTTTCAGAGAAGGTGGATTAGATGTCATAAATTAGTGAGTTTTACCTCAAAACATTAAGAAGTCCATTGCTAATATGATACTGTTAGTGCTGAGTAATACAGCTGTGAGTATGGCATTTAGTCTCCATAAAGCTTGATTTTCTCCTGTGTGCAAGAAAAAAATGCTGATTATCTCAATATCCCTGTTGTCCAGCTTTAAACACTGGTAACTTACAAATTTTTTTACATGTTTAGTTTCTTCTTTTTCTTTCTCTTTCCTCTCTTCCTTCCCCTTATGTACCGATTTACCCATTTAGGTCAGTTAGTAGATAGATATATAGATAGAGAGATATCTGTGGATATTGATATGTATGTGTATATACACACATATATGTACCCGCTCACAAAGAAAAAAGAGAGAAATACAATACTATATAGATGATAAAAGAGGAACATTTTTATTTTAAAAGCCTTAAGGAAAAAGTACACAAGATTTTAGTGTTCTTTCTGTAACACACACATTTATTTTTACGGTAATCTTGGGGTCAACCCAGTAAGCTTTCTTGTTGCGTCTCTCTTTTACTTGCTCAGAAAAATGAAACTGTGTCCTCAACTTGGCCTGAGAGATACACCAGAACAAAACTAATTAGAAAAGCCAAAATTTGCTTTGTATTCTATTTGTCCAATGTAACTCAGGCAAGGACCTTGCAGCCTAAGCTTTGTTATAAAGGTTATTCAGTTCTTATGGTCTATTCTTCAAAATATGCTT